CACACACACACACACACACACACACACACACACACAGTCAGCAAAAGTATGCGTGTTTTTCTTTAAGTAGTTGCAGAGTTTATTGGTCAGCATTTCCACTTAAGACACTCATTAGAGCATTGGGACTAAACGCAGAGGAAATCCGCCCCCATAACAAGTCTAACTGTGTATTGTCTTTATGAGGACTGATTGGACTGAAATGAAAGTTGCATGCATGTTGAAATTCCAACTTAAAAACTCAAAATTTTGAGTTAAGTATCTCAAAAATTTCATCAAAATAACTTACCAGTTTAAATTCCATGTACATTTTTTTCAGCATTAGAAAAAAGCTTCCATACCTAAGTGAAACACATGTTACCAGTTCCCTGAAAAACACTGTCAGACATCGGATTTTTATTTTATCACAGACACATTTACAAACCATGAAGAGCCTGAGATGTGTAAAGAAAAATGTTTCCTTTCCCACATTCGCGGAGTGTACTGTTATTAGATGTGCTTTAAAATTTACAGCTACCACCGTATTATGTGAAGTTTCCTCACAAAGATGATTTATGTGTTTATGTGTTTCCTAATACCTGAATGACGATGGCGGTGCTTTCATCCACTGTGATGAGAGTGTAATTGTGGATCCCTCCGAGCCTCTTCAGGGAGGGACAGTGGCTCCTCTCCAGCACCATCACATTGAACCTGTGACAGACATGTTTCATCAAATGATCAAACGGTGCTTGTCAGGACTGGGAGGTCAGGTAAAAATGCTAAAGAAGAAAAAAAAAAAAAAAAAAAAAAAAATAGCCTTTGCTGTCTGAAGGTCAGGAAAGTCCAAGGCAGAGACAGCATATTGATTGATTGATTTTTAGCTGTCAGAGTTATAATTATCTGTTAAAATGTCAAAAGTGATGTCAGCAGAACTAGAAAATAAGTTTCCTCCATCCATGATATGAGTAAACTCTGTGATGACTACGACAGCACTCAGACTGCTGGCTTACTTACAAGGCTTACAAGGATATTTAAAAGTACAATTGGAGGCAGAGTCTTCATTTTTCTGTGGGGCCAGCCCCCATTTTCAACATTAGGCTTAAAGCCTTTCTTTTTGATAAAGCATATAGTTATAGGCTTGATCAGGTGACTCTGAGTCCTCTATCGCATGTCCGCCATTACCTGTCCGAAACCAGAAGTGACGTCATTTTTGCGGAAAATGTAGTTTTTTACCTTTGGGACCTTACGAGCCTATACTGGTGTTTTTAAAAGTCATGTTTGACTTTATGCTTTTCTGAATAGTTTCTGGGATACTTAGAACTCAAATTGCACTGCTGGAAATAGTTTATTTTGATGCACATGCTGTTTTTGCAAATTTGCATTATAATATTTATTTTCGTTTTTCCTGCAGTATATAAAAATTGGTGTATTTCAAAAATAAAACTATGAAGACACTCAAAATAAATTTCCTGTTGTTGGAAACTATTTTGTGCAACTTTTTTGTATTTACAGTTGTGAGGGATAAACCTCTTAAATTTCTTTAACTAGAAATATATGTAAAAAAACAAAAACAATTTTCAATTTTTTTGTAGTTTATTGCATTTCTTTGCAATTTATGTAGTTACTATGGACTTAATGCATACATATTATTAAAATTTGGGCTATAACGGTTGTATTGATGTATAGCAACTTGAAATGCTCTCAAAAATGGCACTACTGCATGTAAAAATATAAAGATAAACTCTGGTGGACTTCTTCTATGGACGTTCTATGGTAGGTCTAAGGGTTAATTACCCTGCAATGGATTTAGGCTGATGGGGCTTTGCCATGATGCACTGTTCCTTTTTCATTCATGCGCTTACACACTCCTCTGCCTTAACTGTTATTAAATTCTAGCTGTAGTTTTCTGTTTAACTTTAAATTAAAACTTCTTATATTAGATTATGTAATATGTAACCTGATGTTAGTTATTTTTACTATTTTTTAATCTCAGCTACTCAGATGTAAAACATTTAAAAATTATTCTGATGTAAAGGCTGGTCATAATACTCGATATTTGAAAACAGTTGTTTTTACTTGTCTGGATGAGGAGGAAAACTCACTCTGACTCGAGTGTTTGCAGTAGCAGTGGATAGTTAATAAGTCCCTCCGTCACAAACAACACATACGGCACGTTGTCCTCCAGGCACCACAAGATATTCTCTTTAGGGAAACAAGCACATTTAAAAGCATTTAAGCGAAAATATCAACAATAATATGAATACGTGGAATTTGGTGGCAGCTGACCTGCATCAGAGACGGTGGTGTTGAACGTTAAGTGGTTGATGCTCCTCTCCCTACAGATTGCAGACCATGGAGACTGGCCCGGATGGTCGTACTCCACGACTAGAGAGAAACAGGTCCAGGGGAAGTCGGGGCCAATATCCTGTTCATACACCACCACGCACACACTATCATGCATGCTGTAAACAGGATAGAAGTGTGACAACAAAGTGTTTACTTATACGCAAGACAGTGTGATGAATGGCTCCTAATCTGAAAATATAGCTATGAGATGTATACATTTTGCTATTGCCAAAATATAAAATAATAAAATAGATATTATTTACCATTTGAAACTGAAAATACCCTTTTCAAATCTTTCAGAAACAATAAAATAAAATAAAGAATGTATGTTAATTTAAAAAAAATAACTTGGAAAGCAGGGGATGGGACCTCAAGCACAACTTTATTGTGTCTCTACAATATCATGTAATTATATATGACTTCATATCTCTATATACCAATGTATCACACAGGCTTAGATGAATGAACTATGATACACTTTTACCTGCTGACTACACTTGCACCATTGAGCTTTATCTTGTCCTGCTCCGGACAAACTGCAGTCGCGCCTCAAACAACAACAAAAAAAACACAAATATAATTAAGTCTACGACACAATGACAGTCACCTGTTTGTCTTATTTCTGCATGTTTTGCAGCATTTAATTTTTCTTTGAATATTTTTTAGTTTAATAACCTTTGACTGAAATGACTGAAATGATCAGTGAGCTGCTTACCTGTCACCTGGTTCAAGCTGTTGATTATTGTTGATCTGCTACTATCACAGTGAACTGATACGATAACAAGAATCTGCACAAAGGTAAATAAGCAACTCTTATCAAGTGTTTTTCACATAAAGATTTATGACTTTAACTAATATCATATTTAGCTTATAGAAGTATATGATTAAATACTGACTTTATCTGTGGTGTTCTGTCCTTTACTGCTGTTCAGCCACTCAGCCACCCGGTGCTGGAGCTCCTGCAGTTTGAGGCTGGACTCCTGATTTTTCTGACTGAGGTAGAGGATGATGTGCAGCCTCTTCAGCAGCTGCTGCAGACTCTGCTCTGCACATCCCTTAGCTGCCTTTGTCAGGTACTCTGTTGTCCAGGAACAGCAGGTTAAAAATCTCAGTGTAGGCACTGAAACTAAAGTTAAGATTTTGGAAATTCCAGCTTCCACATGATTACATAATTTCTATTGTACTTTTTTGGAATATTTACAGGGGGTATTTCTGTATCTTGCCCAGGTTCTCTCCTACTGGTTCGACAAAGTCATTACTTATATGAAAGTAAAAACAATATCATATTACGTTATAATAAAAATAGCACAATTATGAAATTTACTTTCAGTTAACTGTTTGAATTTTTAATTTATTACAGTTAGATTTTTCCCACCTTTACAACTGCAGCATTTTGAACTAACTTAATAAACTTTAAAGGTTGGCTGCTTGTGTGACAGTAGTTCATCTCACCCAAACCCGTACTGAGGTCGCACTTCAGCAGCAGCTCCTTAAATGTCACCAGCACATGAATCAGAGCTGCAAGGTTGAAAAGCGCTTCCTGATCTGCAACACAGTGGGAGAGGGAGTAGATAATTTACTTCTGTCAAATCTAGGTTTAATACATTAATACAACAACATGCAAATTAAAACATTAACATGGCATTTCCTACCTTTGATCAGTTCTGCAGTCTGTGCAGGGACCCTGCAGAGTGCTCTCTCCTGTTGTTTGAGAAGGAAGTGAGTTTGGTCTGGTGCCAGGCTGCTGAAGTCTCCACATCCTGGGAAGTTGAGCCCCAGCTGTCTGGCAGAGCTCAGACAAGGCTGAGCGAAGGCCAGCAGCTCACAGTAGGCTCGCTGCTGGCTGTCTGCACAGGGTTTAAAACACTAATTTAAAACACCATCTGAACCACCATGCTTTCCAAACAGACCCTACTACAGTCTGGTCAATGAGAAATGCACTCAAGCAGTCTGACTCCCAAACTTTGCTCGCCCCCCATGTGGTCCCTCCTGTCAAGGCCTCTCTCTTTTTGTCATATTTTTCAAGTAACCTATATTGGAAATTCTGTTTTTGGTCTGTGACCCCAATATTTTTAGTAGCCCCATTAGGGCCACCCCTATGAAAAAATTATGGAGGCGCCTGGCTTTCAGGTCTCCATATAATTGCTGCTAATGATACATTTGTAAAATGTCTTGATGCCTTGAGGCGACTTTTGTTGTGATTTGGCGCTATATAAATAAAATTGAATTGAATTGAATTGAATTGAATTGAATTAAAAGTGTGGAATTACTTGACTGAAACTCAAATGTGAAAGTAAGGTGTGGATATTTGTTACTTTACTTCACTCTGATAACTTGTGACACACCTGTAGGTTTGATCTTAACTACTTGGCTGTCCCGTCTTTGCTGTGATTTTCCACTGAGTTGACCCATCCACTGATTAGCAGGTTCTTCCTCTCTGTTTGAATTTCCTGGCCTCACGTCCAGTGTTTGACTCTGCACTGGAGAAGGCTGCAGCTCTGATAATAGTGCTTGGTGGTTCACCCCACGTGCTGATAAATAAAAGGATGAGCTTAGGTAAAACATGTTTTCCTTAGGCTAAATTAGTTTTTACAGGCGTGCATCTGGAGTCATAGCAAGAAAGTTCAGGTCAAGGGTAAATTTATTGGATCTGTTGAGGTTTTTAACTATTAAAAAAATAATCAGCTTACCTGAGAGCTTTTGAGCCTTCTTAGAAACAATGCCCTCTTTATGTGAGTTGGATGAGCAGAAGTTTATAAACTTATCGGGATTAAAAGATTAGCTGAAGAAATTATGATGATTACTGAGGAATCTAACATGAAGAATCTAAGAGCTTTACAGTGCATTCATGCATTTTGTTTTCTTTTGTGGGAAGTGTAGGGATCTGTGGCTACACACAGTTTTCCTGTGGAGACTTTGGTTATAATACTTCATTTACATTTTTCACATAATAGATACAAACATTCTGGTCTTACGTTCAGAAAATAAAGCTGCAAAAGCATAAATCACCTTCAGACTATGCAAGAACAGATAGTAACGATAGTGTACCTGCAGTGCTGCCTGAGCTCTGAGGTGATGCAGAAACAGGAGCGATCTGCTGAGACCTAAGCATCATGAAGGTGGCCAGGGGGTCAAGGTCCAGCTCTGGTGGATTTCTTGCCAACAGCAAACCTCTGTCATCATCTCTAGTATTCAGTGTGGAGGCGACAGCCTCCTCAGAAATGTTTGCACTCAGCTCCATCTGACAGTCATGTCCTTGTCTGCTGATGTCTTTTTTATGAGCTGAAGACCAGCTTGCAACTTCTGAAAACGTCTTGCCACCAATATCATATTTGGTGCTGGTGACAGGAGCTGATTTTACATCTTTATTCACTGTGTTGAACGCAGGCATCTGGGAGGCATTCGGAGATGAATCAACAGTGGTTTTCTTTTGGAGAAGAGTTTCAGCTGTGGTGCTCAATAGAAAGGAGTCGACTGAAACCAGAATAGAAGGAAAATTGACGAGATCTGATGATACTTAATATAAATAATTTTTGCACTTCAACTAAAAAAAACCAAAACACCTGAAACAATTTAACCTGGTTTTGACTGGCATTTTGGCATTTAAATCAGCTGCAGGTGAGCTGCCAAAAAACAGTGATGGACAAAAACTATCATGCAAACCACTAACCACCACAGATAATTCCTAAAGGGGTCTGAGCCCAACCTGAGACTGATTACTGCTCTGCATCAAAAGGAGCAAGCAGAGGAGGTTCTGGCATAGAATCCTTTCAGGATACCACCTAGATGAGATATTTCAGGCATGTTTAGCCAGCAAACGCCCAAGCAGACCCAGTACATGTGGAGACATTATGTCTCTTAGCTAGATGGGAACATTTTGGTGTGTCCTTGAAAGAGATGGAGGAAGTGGCTGGGGAGAGTGAAGTCTGGGTATCTCTACTCAGACTGCTGCTTCCAAGAAATGGATGCGGAGAAGTGTCAGTAAACCGATACCTTAGTAATTAATTACCAACATATGTTTAATACAGCTACACATGGACTCATGCACATCTAAAAACCAAAAACACTCACCCTCCACATGTTCAGGTGGCAGTTTACTTAAGTCTTCTCCAGTTTCATCTTTGATGGAGGGAAGGTCAGACTTCATACTCTCTGTGAAGTCGCAGCAGCACAAAGATAACTGCGGGACTCCCGTCTCCATCTCGGACTGCAGTTTGTCAGCAGCGCTTATGAAACTTTCTTTCTCTAGTTTGATAACTTTTAAGGCTTCCCACAGAGGCTGGAAGTCAACAGCTGGTTCATACATTTGAGGCTCTGTAGGAAATACAGCAATTTAGTGACACAGTTCAGAGATTTCTGTGTTCAGTACGTCTGTAAATGTGATAGATTAGAAACAAAAAAACAAAACAAAACAAAAAAACTCACTTCAAGTCCAATCATGACACAAAAACATGCACCCCAGAGTTTCCATGATAGCAACATTCATTTGAATTGACTTTCTCTGCATGGTAAACAGTCACATTTTGTCAACCCCTGTCCCTAGATTGTGATACATTACGTTTTAAGTCTCTACATCAAATTTGAGACTCCATTTAGAGCTGCAAACCCATCAGAAATGTTTAAGCAGATGGGTGGTTGAAGACCAAGATGTTTTGGGGCCACAGTGACATCTGGTGGTCTCCAAAAACATCAGCCTTTTAACTATTGATGCCAAAGCACCGCAGCACCTCAGTGAGTTTTAAAGTCCTCTTAGTCAGAAGTGCTGCAGCAGATTCACCCCAAATTTTGCATAATAAAAAACAAAATGTGTACTCATATGATTTAAACTTAATGGCTTTTGTCCCCCCTGCTGATTCCCTCAAAGTCACTTTAGCAAAACTGTCACAGTGAACAAAGCGGTTTCTAAAGAGCCAGTGGAGGCTTTGGCACTTTTCCACTGTTAATCAGTGTTGAGTATTTAATGTGGAAAATTTGTGGAGTCTTCCTTTAATTACAAAATTACCTGACAACAGAAAGCCCACCACAAAGTTCAGGTGCTTCTCTGCCTTCCAAAGTACCGCCTTCATCTCTTTCTGAGCTCTCGGCGACACCAAAGATCTAGATGAAAATCATTATTGTTTCAAAAGCTTCTCCAATTACCATAAAATGGGAATCACTCATATTTTCTCATCATGCTGTAGCAGTTTATAAGAATTTATATCTTAATATAAATGTTAATCCAGATGACATCTCTATGTGTGCATCATGTTTGTTTAGTTCATGTGAAATCAGTTAAAACAAACAAACAAACAAACCTATCAGAGAACTGTTTAGTTAGCAGCTCGACCTGACATTACTCACATTCTGCAACAAGGAGACATCTCTTCCTTCTTGAGCTCAGAGGTGGACAGACAGATGTCAGTTTGACTTTTCAGGGGAGTCGGGGTGAGAGTCAACTCCAGCTCCATTTCAGTGGGAAGCACCGCACATCCTTAAAGACACAGTAAACTAAAACTTATATTGAAAGAGAATTAGACACCTCAAACAATCGAAGAGACATGGTGTGCCTGATGTAGCCTCTGTACATTTCTCTATTATTGGATGAAAAGTATAACCAACAAGTTACAGTTTTTATCTAAGCTCTCTATACCTGCAAAATCTGACTCAATCAGGCCTCCATTCATCTTGGTTTCTTCACTGGCTTCATCTGGTACATCAAACTTGGAAATATCCACCGAAGGATTTGAAAGGGAAGCTGACAAAAAGTCAAATATATCAGTTTATCTTTTAATAATGTTTTCAAAAAAATATTTTTCATTTCATCTTAAAGGATTTTGGTCTTTGTCACCTTTTTGAAGCACATCTAGGACTGGAATCTCCTCGTCCATCAGCTCAGTGGAAACATTCACATGACTGCAGATGCTTGAAAACCTTGTGAAATTTTCTGTGCTTAGCTGAAGAGTCTCCACTACAGCAGGCAACAGCAGAAACTACAGAGGAAAAACTATTAACAATAAACTGAGCAAATAATCTCATGTTTATGAGGATTAGTTACCTCTCCATTCGTGAGTGGCTGTTTAACAAACTCCTCTTGAATGTCTACGCATGTCTGAACATTAGTGGTGTCCACATCTGCCGGTTTTTCATAAGATGCACAGTGCTTGAAACAGCTACAATCCAACAGGTTTAACATGATGGTTAGTGGGGCCATAAACACACAAAGGTTGTTCATTTGCAGGTTTTAAAATGCACCTGAACATGTTGTCTTCTGAGATGGGATTTCCCGATGAGCTCAGCAGCGGGTCAGCTACAGGAAGCATCCTCAATCTGGACAACTTGACTCTCAGTGTAGGCAAATGTCTCTTAAACTCTGCCAGGTGATCGACTGGAATGAGCTCTTCGGGCAAGAAGAGGTCTTTCACAGAACACAAACATGTTTTACTAAGCATAACTGATTTCCTTAAGAAGATTAGAATTACAACTTTATTGTAGTATACAGAAATGGTTCACCTTCACTCTTATCCTTGATCTCGTCAGGTGTCTGCTTAAAAAACGATTCCTGACATGGACCGTCAGTCTGTGAGTCTTTTAAAAGGGGAACATACAAATCTTCATCTAAATCCTGAAGTGAGTCAGGATTAGAGCTGGGTATCACCTCCACCTCATCTTTCACATCAAATCTGAAAAGTAACAAGTATTTATGATATCTCTTCACAAATACAAAATTCAGTGAATGGATTGTATGTTTAAAAGGGAGAACCTTTCTGTTGAATTTACTGGTGGATTTTTTTCTCTCAGATTATCAAGGAGAGAGCCACCGACATTAAGTCTGCAAGTGGAGATCACCTGTCCTGTCAAGGGAATAATTATATAAGCAAATTAACTCATATGGCAGGCATGTGAAGATTACCTGTGTCATCAACACACTATTACTGTTTTTTTATGATTGCTTAAGTACTTTCAAAATCACTTTAGTAATTTACAGTTTGATTTATTACAAAGCCAAAGAGTCATGCTGACAGATTTCTTTCATTAACTATAGCAGCATTTCTTTATCATATATACAAACTGAAATGTACTATTGAAGTTGCACATCTTTTTCTTATATTAGGATTAAATATGCAGTCAAACTTCTTTGCACTAACAGAAATGAGATTTTCACTAGTCTGGTCCACTTACATCCCCGCTCTACAAACTGAAGTTTTCTTTTCTTTTTTAAATACCTCTGACCCACGGTTTCCTGTAGGTGTCTTCAAGCAGCTTTCCACTATGTGGATACAGGTCACTGGCACTTGTCAGGTAAGGTGTTGGTAGAGCCAGCAGGTTCATCATGACTTTCAGACTGGTGCTGGCCTGAAATAAACACAAAAAGAATCAGAACAACAAGCTTTTAGAGAAATACTCCGGGTAAAACGAACAAGCTCACCTCAAAAACATAGTCAAGAGCTTTAAATCTGATAGCAGGGAAGACTTCCGTCTGGGGAGAGTTGTCCTTTTCTGGCCTGTGCACACAAAGAAGCGGAGTTACAGGTAACATGTCTGTACCTCAGTATCTTACATCACACCAACTAACTTAATGTCTCTCGCTATAAACAAATATATTTATGTAAACGGATAAAAATAACTTTCACATGGAAATCTTTCAAGTTTATTAGCTTGCTTAGCTAGCAAGTGTCGTACTATAGCTAGGCAAGGTAAGACTTTTTTTTTTTTACACATTTTAACTCTAAATTGAAAGCTTTAAATATGGAAAGCTGACAAAAAAAAAAATGTAAATAAGAGCACTGTGTGTTTCAGTAACAGCAAACTTACATAATGTAATTAAGTTTTAGTGTTGCGCGGCTGTAGTGTCCAAGATTGTTTATTCAGGATGCATTAACAGGTCAACAAAAGGTGAAACCGTCACGCATGCGCTCTGAGGCATATGACCAGTAAAGCTAGGATCTGCCTTTGAAAAAAAATATTTGGCTAGTATTTGCCTAAAAAAATGAGAAAACCTAAAATATTTCTGGGACCCCAACAAGCTCTTTGTAAATCCTGGAAAAGCCTCCACTGAAGTTATGGACCCATGGACACAAATATTTAATGGACGCTGGCCAACGTTTTTTTCTGTGGTTGTGTGGCTGGCAATGTAATACCTAAAATAGGCCATCAGAGGCGCTAGAATAAATGTTTTTGGTCTGGTAAGGAACTCGTTTCTGCAGTATAATGGTCCACGAGTCCTTCCTTTCTTCTTGGTGACGAAGCATTTCTATGTCAGGATGTCACCAGATTTCAGTTTGGGTCAGTACCTACAGGTCTCATTATGGCAGAAACACACATTTATGTGTCAAAACGCTCCTTTAAATTCCCCCATAGACTGAACAAAATAAAAGGTAAATTTAAAAGTCATACATTATTTATTCCTGTATAAAGCCAGTCCACCACGGATAACATCAACTAAGATGTTGACTATGGACTAATTTTAATCACTTAAATCACAGATAACCATAAATAAAGCTCACTGTAATACATATTTCTTAGCTATTTATTCATTATTTTCCCGACACAGTATTTATGTTAATGTGCCATGTTGTGGCACAATACAAATTGTTTCTATATTAAATATGGAAAAACTGGGTTGCAATTTCCCATACAAATCGACACAATAATAGTTATAGTGTAATAATGAACTAAATGGCTTCTGTGTTTTCTGCTTTTCAATTGCATGGACACTCTACTTTTCACCACAGGAGGGCGCTCTTCACCAGCAACATCATTCAAGGAAGTACAATTACCAATCCAATTCTTCTATATGCCTACAAGATATGGGCCCTCCGTTTTTCAGTTTCCAAACATGTGATGATTTTCAATCTTACAGAACAGAAAAGAAAGAGAAGAAAAGAAAAGAAAGTGAAACAAACAGCAAGGTGTTTCCATCCTCTCTATTATCTTTCCCCTCATTAGAAAAAATGGGTGTTGACAGTTTTATCTTTGTGTTGTCTCTTCTGTGACCCTGTAATTCTTCTGTGTATCCTGATTGGATGAACTAAAAGTTATTAAACGCTTAAAGGTCTATGTCTGGAGTTCACTAGTTTCTCATCAAGGTGACAAAATACCAGCATGCTTTACAGGCTTCGCTTTAAGACAGCAGATTCTGCCGATGTGTGCTTTCTCACAGGAGTGATAACATACAGAAAATTCACACTGACATGAAACTGCACTAAATGTGAGCTAGAGTTTGTCTCGATTTCTGGATTACTGCCTCAGGTATTCACAGAATGAAGTGAATGTTCCTCCATGATGTAAAACATACAATAAACAGATGAATATAAACAACCTTAATATAAGGCACGAGTATTTATATAATTTCTAGTTAGAATCAACTGTATTATAATTATAGAAACTAGTAAATATCATAGTTTTCTATAGTTTGAACTTACAGTAGGTTGTGTGTTATGCAGTGTGGCTCCATGTGGTGACAAGCTGCCTGAACAAGGAAGACATTAGACTGTGAGACTTCATAACGATGTGAGAGGGAGCATGAGTGTCACAGGGCTGCTGAACAGACATTCAAACAGCTGCAGCAGACTTCAGGACAGTAGCTGACATCTCCACAGGCCTGTCAGACTGATTCATCATAAACACAACTCTTATTCTGATGTTTTATTTTCATGTAGAGGATGTTTTTCATCCAGTCACACTGTCAGTGTTTAGCTCAGTTTGATCTCAGCTACTTTATTCATAGTATATCAGAGTATATAGTTATATGTGTTAACGTTTGTCAATTATCTTCAGCTTTTTCAGCAATATATACAACATATTATGACTCTTTACCTCTTTTATTAAATACTTATAACTTTCTAACTATATTTACTTACATAGATATTTATTCCAGACAGCTAATTGTTAATATATGTATTTAAACTTAAAAGAAAATTGCCACATTTATGTAACTATTTAGTTTTATTCATTTACTTAGAGCTACTTTTACATTATACAATCTTTTATGGTTTATCCATACTTTGAAATACATAACCTATTCATATTCACTAAGTCCTCTAATTATATTGTAATTAAGGGTTTGTTTAGTTAGTTGAGTGATATTAACCTGCTTACTCTATCACTGGGTTAGGAAGTAAAATGGCAGCCATATTATCAATGACAGTCAGTTTAACTAACTATTTACACAACCTTACATTGAAAACAAGTTAAATTGCTTATGACTTGGTAAAGATTATCTGTCATGCCCAGAGAGTGTGGAGAGAAGAAAACAGAGAATGTATTTAGATCAGGTGAAGTTCAGTGTTGTGCCTCTACAAGACAACAGGACTGTCAAGGCTGTATGAGGGTTTTATGGGCGATGCCTGGGTGAATAAGAATGCTCCCAATACTGAATTCAAAGATGACTCCCGCTCTCCAGAAGCTTGACAGGAGAGGAATTAGATGAGGATGCCAAACACACTGCAACAATCACATCCAGTGGTTTTTATAGGAGAGCTGGTGGTTTATTTTCTTTGACTGGAATCCTAGAACCCCCTCTGTCATAGAGCAGCTGTGAATAATCATCTAAAGAACAGAAGAAATCTCTACAGTTTAACAAAAGAACACTGGTCCATACAAAACATGTCATTAAAAATAAAGGAAAACTGAGGACAGTCCATATGTAGAACATAGAGCAGAGGTGTCACAGCAGGTTTTAATTAAGTTATTTTCAGTCTGGGGAGCTTTAAGGGGGCTGCTTCAATGTTCTGGACTGAATCCCATTTAACACATCACCTCTACCCACACAAAACGCACACCACACACTGAGTATTTTCCCATCCGGCTGTCAGTAAGAAGCCACTACAGTCAATGTGGGTTAAATAACTCACTATTTACAAGACAAGAAGACAGACACTGCCCTTGTGGGAAGCCAACTCAGTCCCCAGAGTTCTTGGTCATAACAGAGCTATTTAAGCAGTTTGAGCTTCTGCAGTTTATGTCCAAGCAACGCTCAGCTAGACTGCAAAAATACAAAATGAAAACAGAAATGGTTACACCGAACAAAAGAGGTACAGAAGGGAGCAGCCTCCAGGCAAAAATGTGTTGACATGTGAGTGGAGGCAAGTAGAAATTATGGGTGAGATCAAAAGGTTCCCCATCAAAAAAAATGATTGTTCTCCTCAGTGAATGGTTGTAAATGTATACAATAACACTGAATGAGCTGAATACTATTGGTTAATTTTAGAAACAATACATTTTTAATTTTTTTAAAGTGGGCTCTGCCTCGTGGTTTGGTCCACAGCCTACTCCTCCTCCCCTCCTTATTTTGCAAACGGTAAGACATTATTAACACTCAGTAAGTTAAATGGTCCCTAAGGACCCCAAAGTGCTTTACACAACCAGTCATCCACCCACTCACACTGGTGATGGCAAGCTACATTGTAGCCACAGCCACCCTGGGGCGCACTGACAGAGGCAAGGCTGCCGGAAACTGGCGCCACCGGGCCCTCTGACCACCACCAGTAGGCAACGGGTGAAGGACACAACAACGGTGAAGGACACAACGACTGAGACTGTCCAAGCCGGGGCTCGAACCGGCAACCTTCCGATTACAAGGCGAACTCCCAACTCTTGAGCCACGATCGCCCTAACATCAGAATAAGTTAATCACATTTACTGTTCTAACCAGGCTGCATTTTAGCTTTAATAGGTCTCCATTAAATGTTGTGCTTCGGTTTAGGTGCCATGTTAATCTTAATGCATGTTTATGGCAGCAGGAGGTGTGTGCAAATACAACTTACTGAACTGATTTTATTTGGTTTTAACAGTTTCCTCAATGTCCCCCACGCCAGCCTTTTTTTTTAAACAAGCCTGGAAACACCCCTGCTGCACACCTGCCAGCAATCCTGACTATTCATTACTTTGTGTCCCAACTGCCTGGTCCTCAGTGTTCCCATATTATGTAGAGTCATCCCAAGAACACACATTTTTGAAATGTATTCAGTATTTAAATGAAACCTCCTCCCTCAACACACAAACACCTCTAAGAAAGATAAAATCCTTCAGCGACCAGACAACAAAAACTCAAAGTGGCTGAAATCCCCAAATGACATCCTGACTCCACACGGAGCACTTTGTTTTCACAAGGAAACAAAAAGAGGAACATTTCCCAGTAAAAAAAACCCCACACAAAAACAAAGACGAATCCTCTGGGTAGACACTCAAGTATCTTTTGCTCGAGTCTCACATACAGCAAAAAAGCCCAAAACAAACTCTGATACGATTACCTGTTCCACCTGTTGCACTTTGACTGCAGGCTCTTTGTTTCTGCATTGACATCTGACTTTTTCATACACCACCACAGCAGACCACATTAAACACTGCAGGAGCTTGCTCTGCCATCTTTTTGTAAATTTTCACTTTAATGTGAACACAAACTCACAGAAACACACACACAAAG